ATTAACTCGCTCATCGTGAACCATCGATAACAGTTCCAGACTAGAAAGGAGACTTTATATTGCTTGTAAGTTTGTAAAATTGTTGCATATAAACCATTGTGTGTAATAATTGTTATTGTACATTCTATTGTTGTGTTTATATTAAAACATATTTGTGTTAAAAAATAAAACTGTGTGTATCAATCTTGTTGGCAAATATCATAAATTGGAGATATATCGGCATATATTTAAATACTAAATCCAAAGTACAATTTAACTACTAAATTTGAAGTATCATTTAACTCAATTTCAGGCTATTTAAAATTCTAATACGTAACAAAAGAAAAGAAAATCCTGGTATCAACTAGAATTACTTTAAATAAAGTTAATGAACAAAATCTATCATAAGTAAAATAATTTAAACAAATATTAAAAATTCTTTGTATAAAGTAATACCATCTAAACAACATAATTCATATCAAATTAATGCTTAGGAATACATTAAATACTTTCTCTTCTCTACTTTGATATTTTGTAACATTTGACTAAATATTTAAAAATACTAAAATATCTTCATGTTTGTTTTAAGGCTCATCTTTTGTATATGTGCTTGTTTTGAATTGCGCGCAAAGCTACACGAGGGCTACCTGCGCTAGCCGTCCCTAATTTAGCAGTGTAAGACTAATGGGAAGGCAACTAGTCATCACCACCCACCGCCAACTCTTGGGCTACTCATTTACCAACGAATAGTGGGATTAACCATCACATTATAACGCCCCCACGGTTGAAAAGCCGAGCATGTTTGGTGTGGCGGGATTCGAACCCGCGATCCACAGATTGCGAGTCGAGCGCCCTAACCACCTGGCCATACTGGGCCTTGCTTTGAAGAAGACAGAAAATTATTTCATGGTGTGATAAAAGAGGCACTAAAGTTACACCTTTCATGTTGTTAGTCTAGGTCTAAACCATTACAGTTAAAGGGTTATCCTCTCTTTTAAATTAGAATATTAAATAGGAGAATTTATTTTTTAAAGTTTTAGCTTTGGGATATTGCGTGTGATTTTTGGATAATGAAACACAAGTTTGGTGTCTTAAATGAAGAATACCGTGTTTTCGTATTAGATAAAATAGCTAATAGGCCAGCCAGAATATGGTTCACAAAGTTATTTTGTTTTAGGTTCAGCTACATTTAAATTTTTAAGAAAAAAAAATGACAACAAAAAAATGCATTTTAATGAAAACAAATACGTTGATTTTTTGAGGACTCAAATTGTGCATTCAATGAAAGCAAGTAGAAACATAATTTTACTGGGAGCTCTTTTTACTAATTATTTTTATACAAGGTACTAATAAGATTTGGACTTACAGTTCATAGTGTTACTTGTGATGTGGGAGGAAATATCAGTCAGCATGGAAAGATTTTGCAATCACAGCTAGTTGAATTTCTAAGATAGTAAGCTCAACAATTCATCTACCAGATTATTTCCAAAGGCTATCTTTTATTCCGTATGTATCAATACATTGAAAAATCTTAGGAATCACTTGACTCAAGAACGTGATATTATTCTACCATAGATATTGACACGAATCACAATTGCCGCAGAATATTCATACACTCGGATCAAGGAGTAATAATTTCAAAAACGGCAGTATCCTTGCATTAATACCATTGAAAAACAAAGAAATGTGGATCAACTTGGGGCGCCAGCACTAACCAGAAATATACTTGCAAGTAGGCGTACCCCAGCCATGATAAGCAAAATGCGTCGTCTTGTAACAGGTGATAATCTATGAACACGAACGCCAGTGGCAAAAGCGTTCACATGCACCAGGTGATAGTACACAACATTATCAAAAAGGATCTCCGTCTAGAAAAGTGATACAAGTCACGTGTACACATATTGCTTCAACAACATATCCTTTCATACGAAGACCTAGTGGTGAGTTACTGGACGCAGTACCAATGGATTTCTGTGCGATCAGACAGTTACCGGCGCTGGGAAACCATCGTCTTCGTGCCCTAGATAGATTATGCAAAGCAGGCAAGAAAACTTGATGTTCTTTGGACGGAAACTTTTGCAATGGAAATTACGCTACAGTGCTACTGTTAATATGCACAATCATTAGATAAAGCCTGCTGACCGTCATCCGCTTAGGCCGTACAGCTAGTACTAACCAACGCGACGCGTACCTAAAAAGATAATCTAATCAGTTAGTTACT